TCTCCCATGTCTGTCTGGATGCCCCATGCACTGCCCCTTGGTGGTTCCTGCGTCTGCCTGGATACCCTCCCAGCACCTCAGTTCCTCGGCTTCCTCACCTCCAAGAGCTGGCTCTCGTTCTCCCACAGCCAGCGACTCTGCACAGTCCCTGCTGCTGCCCCAAATCTCACCTCCCTGCCACCTGCTTTGGCTCCTATCCTCTAACTCTTGCAGCACAACAGGAGCTCGCGGCCGCTGTTAGCAGATGCAGCGTGCTGGGAGGCCTGCACACTCCTGGTGGGAATGTCCACACAGAATGACACTTTGGAAAACCGTTTGGCAACTTCTTAAAAAGTGGAATACACATCTATCACATCATCCAGCCATTCCCATTCAAAGGTATTTACACAAGGAAAGGGAAAACTTATGCCCGTATCAGGCTTGTACATGCACATTCAGAGCAACTTTATCATAGTTCAAAATTGGAAACCCTGCAAATGTCCATCCACTGATGAACTGGTAAACTATGGGACATCCATGCCACACGGCACACTTCAGCAGGAACAGGAACAAACTGATGAATCAAAGTAATCATGCCAGTGACATAAGCCAGAAAAAGAGGGTCATATACTGTATGATGCTTCTTCTAGAACATTCTAGAAAATGCAAACTCCTCTGTAATGACCAGAAGCAAATTGTGGATCCCTGGAGAAAGCAAAGGGCTGGGTAGGAGGGAGAACTGCAAAGGGGTGTGAGGAAACAATTTGGAAATGGGTCGCTCACTATCTCAGCCGAGGTGATGCCTCACAGCGTGTATTTGTAAAAAAGTATCAAGTTGTATACTTTAATGCACACTATATGTACAGTTAATTTATGTCAACAATGTGACAATTTGAAAACAATGCAGCTGGGCCTTTGGCATTGCCCCATCTGGTGCTAGCTATTATATAACCCTCAAGGAGATTTCCTTTTCCACTCTCTGGAATGACTGTTTCACTTCCTTCTCTCTCCTCAAACTTCAATTTTCCTCACTTCCAGCAAATGCATGGCTTCTCAGGGCTCAGGGGAACGGATTCAGCCAGGCATCTACTGTGCCATCCGACTCTCCCAGTCTAAGTCTCCCTCCACCTGCGTCCATAGGCTGCCCACTTTCCCGTCCCCCAGGGGACCAAGGCTGTGTCTCTACCTGGGCCATCCCCTCCCCCAGGCCATGCATCTGTCCCCTTGCTCTTTTTAAGGACTTACTCTGCAAAGAATCCCACTGTCCCCTGCATCATCAAACATCCTCTGTTGGATCATTCCCACCAGCACAAACATCCTGCAATATTTCCCACACTAAAACACATGCAAATAAAACCTTTTCATTTGACCCTCCTCTGTTTCCAGTTACTGCCCCTTTCCCTGATGTTCTTTACAAAAAAACTCCTGAAGCAAGTTTGTCCCCATTCTTGTTACTTTTTCATCTCTCTCTCTCAGACTCACTCCGTTCAGGCTTGTGTCCTTCAGCCCCCTGAATCTGCCCTTGGCCAAGGTCATCAGTGACCTCAGTGTTGCCAAATCCAATGACCGATACTCAGTCTTTTTATTTAAAAGTCACATTTTAAATAGTCTTTTCTTAATGTCAGATTCCATCTTTAGCTTCTTCTCTAAGAAATGTTTTCCATGCACTCTGCTCAGTTCCTACCAAGGTGACCCTTGACTTTACACTGCCCAAGAACTCCTGTGCCAGTGTTACAATCTCAATGCCTTGGCCACAGCAAAACAGTGACAAAAGCTGAATAAACTCCACACGGGCACGGTGCAGACAGGCTCGGGCTGACAGGGGGCGGATTCTCATTATTTGAAGCTGTTATGCTCTATAAAGTTTCCACCAACACTGAAGAGGCCGACCCTAAACCACTGCCCTGGGGACAAACACAGGGTCAGGTTCCTACGAGTGTCTGGTCACAACATCTCCATCAGCCAATCACTAGTCACCCTGCTTTACGTGTGTTTCCCTTTAAAGACCCCCTTGCTCAGCACAGACTGTTGATTCACTCACAGGGAACTCACAGTCATCTAACACTCTGTCAGACACGTCACAGCCTTCTAGGAATTTCTAGGAATACTGAGAAGCTCCCAGCACTATGCTTGGGAGCCATTTTAAACAGAGAAATTATGAATGGAAAGTACAAAAATGCAAAAAATACAGCATTAAATAAAGCACACAAAGAATGCTGGTTTGCAGCACCAGAGCTGAAGCAAAAAGCCAGGTGGCCTCACTGTCCCTCAACCGAGGATGTTGTCATCAGGGCACTGCAGGCTCTCCGCACTTAGGGCATATCAGCAAATGACTGTGTTGGTATCAGAAGTATTGATTTGGGGGCTTGAAATCAACATCAGTGGAGGAGAATTCACAGATAAGAAACCCACGAGTAACGAGGACTGTGCCTTCCTACCTTTCTGCGGCGTGCGCGGTGCAGGCCAGAGGCTTCTCTCCCGGGTCCAGCCAGGGCTGCGTGGGCTGCACAGTGCAGGGGATCAGGTAGATGGTGTACTCCCCGGAGTAGTCTTTCCTGGGGACATGCAGAGCACACTGGTCATGGGGAGCAACTGGTGGCCTGTCTGCTTACCCAGAAAGACACAGGCTTTACTAACACAGTTTCCAGATGGTATTTGTGCCCAGCTTCCAAGTGCTTTTCAAGTCTGTAAACACCATTTTCAGGAACTCACGTATGATGATTCTAACTTTCGGAGTATTATCCAGAGGTGTTAAATAGAGCTACTTTCATCAGTCAAGTCCTTTTCACGAAGAAAGCTGAGAAAGGCATACCGTTTATAAAAACCTGAAAAGCTCAGGCTATTACAAAGCAGAACTGGCCGTATCTAAAATCTAAAATCGTTTAGATTTTATGGGCCGTGACTGACAACTGCTATCTAGTGTTTCCTGTTGACGGACACCCTGTTCAACACATCCCCAAAGGCAGGAGAAGCTTTTATTTATCAAGATGTCACAATGTCAGGTGCTGCAAGGTAGCAAGTGTGTTGGGGAAGAGAGGACGCCACTCCAGGGCAGATGGAAGCAGTGCCCTGCAGAATGTCCCACCACCATTTCACTAGCACTCAATTTTGAGGTTCCTCTCTCAAAGGCTACAGCCTCATCCCTTTATAAAATTGAGGACAGAGACTACTCACTGGGAATTACTTGTTTACTCGGGGCATGGGATCCTCTGGGTCATGACATCCTGAGCATGGAGGGTGGGCACCCCTTCCCTACTTCACTTCCCGCACTTATCACTGGGCAGCAGCCCAGCCCCACAGGTTCCCGGAAGGCAGCCAGTGTCCAGCAACTTCAGGAAGGTTCGTCAGGGACCTTGGGAGGCTGCCAGCCACTGAATGAAGAGCCCAGGAGTGTGAATCTTCATTACGACTGGGGACAGTGAACCGTTCTCACAAATCTATTTTTAATTTGACTATTTTTTGGTGCTTATTATTTATTAGTAAAATGATGGCAAAGATTTGGTAAAAATTAAACAAATAACTTATATGTCACATCTGGGGTCAGCTTAACTGGGAGATCGTCTAACTCTGGCTTGGCTCTGCCTCTGCTACTATTGTACGATTTTGGATAAACCATGCAAACTTCCAGAGCCTGTGTGCTGAAGATCCTTTGCACTCTGAACGTGTGTATGCCTCTGGCTTTCCTGTTTGATCCTTAGCTTCTTCCAAACTCTGGATCAGCAAGACATGAGATGCTGTACACCGTATTTAAACATGAAAATTGACACAGGTAATGTGGATAGTAGCACTATATTAACAGAAATATTGAATTAGGCAGAACGATCTAGACCCACCCAGATTGAGTGGACAATCCCGGCAGGCGCTCCTGTTGCACGGGGACTGAAGGCTGGAGTCCCCGTACACCTTGCCCCCGTGCACAGGCCTCCTCAGTCCCATGCACGCGCACTGTGTGCGTGCACAGCAAACTCCCTCGCCTTCCTCCAGTAGTGCGCAGATTAGGTCTCCTGGGAACATGCTAATTAAATCACAATGTCCTCCCCCTCCTGGCTTTCCACACCCTCCTCTAGAAAGTAAAGCATCTTTTACTTTTCTGTCGACTGGCCACCCTCAGACATGTTACCTGCCTTACTGACTGTGCCTTCGGTTTTGAGTTTCCTTACTTTCTGGTAAGTTCTGTGTTCAGGGATTTTTGTTTACTGATATATTCAAAGCGCCCAGAACTCCTCTGACACACAGTAAGCATTTGATAAGTAGCTTTGAACAAATGCGTGTAGGGCAAACTGCACGGTTTCCCAAGCCTTCAGTCCTGTTTTCGCCAGCTCTAGTTGCTACTTAGATCAACTTCCTCACGATCCCTACAAATATGCCACACGTGGGCCTGTGAGTAGGTCTTTAATCCTGCAGTTCTCACCTCCTTTCTAAGACCTCCACAGCATCCACATGTCAACGTGGAGCACGAGTGGTCTGCCCTCCCCCAGGAGGCCCTGCCCCACACCCAGCCTCTCCCGGGCTGCTCCCCTTGGATGCGCTGTGTCTCTCTCGAGGTCCTTAGCACAGAATGCTTGGTGGGGCTCTTCTTTTTTCCATTTATCTCTTTTATCTCCTTGCCTCAAAAGTAGGCTTCTTGGGGCTGCTTGGTTAGGATGTATCATACACTAAAACCTGTAGTTCTAGGGACTTAACGATGAAAACAACTTGGACCCTGGGGAAGTTCACCATCTAAGGAAACGTGGAAGCAGCACGGAGACCACCACGGGCTAATGAGCTGTGCACGGGAATCAGGAGGGAGCTGCCAGACTGCGTGCGGAGTCGGGGGGCTGTCACAGGGGTCAGTGTTGGAGCTGGGTCTCAGAGGAGGCAGTTCTGCAGGAGCAGTAAGGGTGAAGGGAACTGCAAAGGCCTGGAGATATGGATGGGCTGGTGGGTCTAGGCATTGGCCAGACATTTAAAGCAGTTAGAAGGCTGGGGTGGAGATGAAGCTGGAGGGGAGGACCGGGCCTCATGTGCTATAGAAGAGGGCAGCCTTCATTCAGGCAACAGTGAGGAGGTCCCCGAGCAGCGTAGTTTCTCTGCCTATGAATCGAGACCAACTACGTGAATAGTCTCATGAGGTTCTAGAAGTCCTTAAAGATCAAAAATTTATAATTAAGAAAATATTTTTGAAAATGATTTTTTTTTCATGAGACAGGGTCTTGCTCTGTTGCCCAGGCTGGAATGTAGGGGTGTGATCATAGCTCACTGCAGCTTCAAATTCTTGAGCTCCAGTGATCCTCCTACCTCAGCCTCCTATACCACCACATCCAGATTTTTTTTTTTCTACTTTTTATAGAGACAGGGTCTCACTCTTGCTCAAACTGGCCTCAAGCAATTCTGCCTTGGCCTGCCAAAGTGCTAGGTTTACCAGGTGTGAGCCACTGTGCTCAGCCCTTGAAAATGATGCTTATGACAACCTGCCACTTCTGAGCTGCACAGTGGAACAAGATTGTAATGCTAAATATAGCTCTAAAATGGAGAGGATATTTATGATGGAGTTTTTTGGTTGCCCCTTATCCTTTTTATGGTAGTTTTAAATTCTTTTTTCCACCTTTCTATTTTAAAAATGGGATATTTTACTGTGTTGAGTAGTTCCTATTCTGCCTCTATACTGGGCACGGGAGATGAATAAATTTGTTATTTATTTATAAGACACTGGACCATCCAGGTGACCCGGACGTAATACTGAGAGATGCTACACTGTGCGCTGGTTGCAGTAATTGAAATGAGGTATCTCCATTCTTTCCAGGCTTTAGCTGGATGCCTTTCCCAGCTTCCCTGGTAGGCGGTATGCTCTGTGACTAAGTCCCCAGCGGGATAGCAGTGGAAATGAAGTGACATTTCCTATTTATATACAAGAAGTTGATAGAGCTAGATTTGTTTCTCTATTTGCTGGAGGGACGTCTCTATCCACTTTTCAGAATAGAAACGCAGCCTTCAGAGAAAAACTTCATTTCCCAAACTCCTGAAACTCTCAGATTACTTCTGGCAGCCTCCCTCACTATATTTACCTGTTATAGGAGCTCGTGGCTCTCCACAGTTGATATGGGGAATCAAAGGTCTGAGCACTCCAGAGAAGCTGCAGGTCAAATTCAATTCCTCCCAGGTGGTCTGGAGTTGATATGAAAGACCTGGCGTCCGGGAGGGTGTGGTGCTCCATCACAAACTGTCCTGTGTGGGGAAGCGCGCTCTACTTGTGAGCTTTGTTTTACTTACAATGAAGCCCCTACAAAAGCCTAAGAACCGAGTTAACGCTCTTCTATCAAACCAATCCAGTTCTACCCTTTTGCCCCTTGAGATACGCCCACACTGGTCAGGACGGCATGGCATCTCACCCCAGCCAGCATCCTACTCGTGATGGCCATTATGGGCAAATGTATTTATTTGTAAGTAATATGAATATGGCTTGTGGAAAGGGTACAAATGAGCACAGTCACAGAAACAGGGACCTTCATGTGGCAATGGACACTGGATACATGTAGCTTTGAATTCTAACCAACATGTTTTGTGGAAGCAGAAAGGTCTCAGTAGTTTATACATAGAAATATCAATATCAAATAAAAATGGCATTTAGGGCCACCGAAGGCCTTGGTGGAAGAAGGTAATTGTAAACATCATTAAAAAGGAAAAGTTCACCCAGCAAGCTGCCTCTGCTCTCTAAAAGTGCAGGGATACAGTGTCATGAATAAATAAAAGTAGGGGGACTGTTATAGCCTGTACTGTTAAGAGAAATTAAAGAGATGCAGCAATTTAAATGTAACAGAGGAATCTTGATTGGATTCTCTTTCTTTTTATATAAATGGATAGAAAAGGCATTTGCGGAAGAACAGAGGAAATGTGAATAGGGTCTCAGTATTACTGAGTTGACGCTAAATAGCTTGATGCGACGATGTGTTTGTGTAAGAGAAC